CTCAGGGACTGTGCCCGCGCTGCTGCGTAAAGCCTCCCACTGCCTGAGAGAAACGTGGCCCCGACCCTCCTTCGTCTTCCCGTAGTCCAGGTCGGGGTGGTGGCGGCTCTGCCCTCGTGCCCTTTAATACTGTTTTCACTTTGGGGCGGTTCCGTGCCCCGCTGGCTGCCCCCGCCGACTGCGCACTACGGCGGGCGTGCACCTGCTGTAGGTGCTCATCACCAGAGAGCCGCCAAGCAGCCACTGCGCCGAGGGCAACACGTTAGGCCTTCAGCAAGTCAAAGAAAAGTAGGAGGTGGTCGGCCTCCAAGAAGTGGACCACCTGGGGGAGCTGGGGGGTGCGGGGAGCTCAGCGGGTGAGCACCTGCCCTCGGCCCAGCGCATGACCCTGGGTCCGGGGATCAAGTCCCCATTGGGCTCCCAACAGGGAGCCTGCCTCTCCCTCCTGTGTCTCTGCATCTCTCTCTGCATCTTAGGAATAAATAAAACCTTTAAATAGATAGATAGATGCTAGATGATTGATTGATAGATGATAGATGATTGATAGATCATTGATTGATAGATGATTGACTGATTGATAGATGATACATGATACATGATTGATAGATGATAGATGATTGATTGATAAATAGATGATAGATAGATGATAGATTGATAGATAAATGATAGATGATTGATTGATAGATTGATAGATGATAGATAGATGATAGATGATAGATGATTGATCAATAGATGATAGATGATTGATTGATTGATGATAGATGATAGATAGATGATAGATGATTGATTGATTGATGATAGATGATTGATTGATTGATAGGTGATAGATGATTGATAGATGATAGATAGATGATTGATAGATGATTGATTGATAGATGATAGATGATTGATTGATTGCTAGATGATAGATGATAGATAGATGACAGATAAATGAGATAGATGATAGATAGATGATAGATAGATGATAGATAAAAAACTGCCTGATTTAAGAAGCTTTGACCTAGCGGTAGTCCGAGAGCCACTAGTGACTGTGCTCCTCTCTCTCTCTCTCTCTCACACACACACACGCACGTGTTTGGCGTCCCGTCTCTGCAGCGCCCGGGCCTGGCTTGCACCCCAGCACACCCGGTCCTCCTTGCTTAGGCTCGTTGATGCATGGAAACAAGCCCTACGGCCTCAGCGCATCCCCAGAGCAGGCTCACCTAGGTCTCCTGCTTCACTCTCTCCACTTACTGCTATTTTGCTCGACTCCCTGTTCATTCAAACAAGGAGGCAAAGAAAAATGAAAGTGAAGATCCATCCTTTGCTTTTATTCTTCTAGTACTCCTGTCGTTGAAGGTCTCTCTAATTCAGCAGATTCCGTACAGCTCTGGTCAAACAGTTTCTCGCCTGAAATGACATCAAGCAGTAAAACCCGATGGCCAGGAGACCTTCCATCCCCTGACCCCACTATAATGCTTTTTAAAAAGTTCAAATAATAGTCATAACAGAGACTGGCTTTACCCCTGTGCGCGGAGCGTGGTTTCCGGAGTTCCTGGGGGGGGGGAGGCGCGCTTGTCCCTCGGCGCCGTTTGCACTGTTGGCACATTTGCCGTGTGCCTAAGTTTCATCATAATAAGACTTAGGAAGCGGCACTGGCCAGTGTTTGCTGTGCACTCACCAGCGTTTGCTGTGCACTCAGGCCAGGCCGGGGCCGTTATACGCCTCTCCCCCGAGCTCCTCCCGCCGGCCCTACGCATCTCAGGTTCACAGAGGAAGAATCGGGGGTTGGAAGTGTATTCGGGGAGGGGGGGTACATCTACTGGCCCACCTGATGCCTACGGAAGTAAGATGCCGGGAGAGCTAGGAAGTGGCGAGAGCCTGCGCGGCCTGCAGCCGGGGCTTGGGCTGGCTCGCTGCGAGCCCCCGCCTGGGCCAGGAAGCGCTGGCTGGAGTCGCGACGGCTGCGCGCCTCTGGGGGGGGGGCTCCCCTCTGTGAGCAGGTGCGCTTTCGAGGATGGGTCTTCCCTCCAATCACTGTCTCTTCGGCAGACGTTTGTTGAGGACTACGTGCTGGGTGTTCTTGGGTGCCTTGGGGACAGCGCCAAGGACAAACAGCAGGCAAGTCACCCGGACGCACGGTTCAGTCAGGGAGGGGACATAACAAAATGAACAAATTATATAGAGTGTTGGAAGGTGATAACTACTCTGAGGAAACTAGGCCAGGAGTGGGGCGGCGGGAGCTGCAGAGTAGAGCTCTCAGGAAAGGCCTCACGGAGAAGGTGGCGTTTGTACAGGCTTGACGGAGATGAAGGAAGGCGGTCTGGGGGACGGCTGTCCCCAGCTGAGGGAGCAGTACGTGCAAAGGCCCTGCGGTGGCCAGGGTGAGCCAGATGTGATGGCCGGGACGAAGGGGGTGTGCTTGGAGCAGTGGGAGCAAGAAGGACTAAAGCAGCTGAGGTGCTCAGAAGAGCACGGGCCAGACCCTCGAGGGCCTTGCAAACCCATGTCATGATGTTGGCAGGGACTCTGAGATAAGGAGCCACTCCATGGATTTGATTTGATTTGATTATTTTTTATTTATTTTATTCTATATTTTATTTTACTTTATTTTATTCTTTATTTTATTTTACTTTATTGTTTTATTTTACTTATTTATTTTATTTTATTATTTTGTATTTATTTTATTTTATTTTATATTTTATTTTATTCTTTATTTTATTTATTTTATATTTTATTTTATTTATTTTATTTTATTCTTTATTTTATTTATTTTATTACTTTATTTTATTTATTTTATTTTACTGTATTTTATTTTATTGTATTTTATTTATTTTATTTTATATTTTATTTCATTTTATTATTTGTAAACTCAGCTAATCAACCTACAATGTATTAATAGTTTCAGAGGTAGAGGTCAGTGATTCATCAGTCTTTATAACACCCAGGGCTCATGACGTCAGGGGCCCTCCTTCATGCCCAGCACCCAGTTACCCCATCCACCTACCCCTCCCCTCCTGCGACCCTCAGTTTGTCTCCTATGGTTAAGAATCTCTCTCTCTTTTAAAGATGCTACTTATTTGAGTGCGAGAGAGAGTGAGACGAGAGAGACCACAGGTTGGGGGAGAGGCAGACGGAGAGAAGCAGCCTCCCCACCGAGCAGGGAGCCCGAAGCGGGGCTTGATCCCAGGCCTGAGCTGAGGCAGGTGCTTAACCAGCTGAGCCACCCAGGCGCCCCTGATTAACAGGCTCTTAGGGTTCGTCTCCTTCTCCGATTTCATCTTGTTTTAGTTTTTCCTCTCTTTTCCTTTCATCCCGTTTTGTTTCTTAAATTCCACATATGAGCGAGATCGTATAATTGTCTTTCTCTGATTGACTTATTTCACTCAGCGAATTACCCCGAGTTCCACCCACGTCGTTGCAAACGGCAAGGTTTCATTTTTCTGGTGGCCGAGTTCCATCCCGTTGTACGTCCAGACCACGTCTTCTTCATCCCTGGGTCTGAGGGCACCGCGGCCCGTCCCACGGTGTGGCTCTTCTGGACGCTGCTGCCGTGAGCATGGGGGTGCAGGTGGCCCGGTCTTTCAGGGCGTCTGTATCCTTGGGGTAAATGCCCAGCGGTGCAACGGCGGTCGTAGGGCAGCGCTATCCGTAACTTCCTGGGGACCCTCGGCGCTGTTCTCCGGGGGGGCTGCACCGCTGCCAGAGGGTCTCCTTCTCTGCACCCTCGCCAGCATCTTCCATTTCCTGACTTGTTAATTTTCGCCATTCCGACAGGTGTGAGGTGGGATCTCGCTGTGGTTTTAATTTGTATTTTTCTGATGCCGAGTGATATGGAACCTTTTTTCATGGAGTGTCTGTAGGTCTTCTCTGGAGAAATGTCTGTTCATGTCTTCTGCCCATTTCTGGACTGGATTACTTGTTTTTTGGGTGTTGAGCTTGATAAGTTCTTTATAGACCTTGGACGCTTTATCTGATATGGGCACGTGCCTTCTCTGATTCTGTAGGTCGTCTTTTGATTCTGTCGACTGTCCCTTTGCTGTGCAGACGCTTTTTATCCTGATGAAGACCCGACCCGATAGTTCATTTTGCCTTTGTTTCCCTTGCCCTTGGAGATGTGTCTGGCTGGCAGCTGCTGCGGCCGAGGTCAGAGAGGTTGTTGCCTGTGTTCTCCTCTAGGATTTTGGTGGATTCCTGTCTCACATTTAGGTCTTTCATCCATTTTGGGTCTATTTTCACTCCTTGGTTTTAAACATCAGAGGGAAAACCACCTGACCTCAGTGTCTTACAGAAATAATACTAATTGTGAGACAGGTTCCCAGAATGACCCATCACAGCCTGTGAAACCCATATTGGCCTTGACATAAGGATGCTAATCAGACTCCGGGAAGCTCGGGGCACGGGCTCTAGGTCCAGAAGGTGAGACTCTGACTCACCGCTCGGTGGGTGACGTCGTGCACATCAACAACAGCTCTGAAAGGGATGTTCTGGGTCAGAGAAGGAAGCGATACCCGCCCCATGGCCTTATTTTGAGGGTCAGGTGAACATGGGACACAGACACATCGTGTAGACCGTACAACACGATCCGGAGGGTTGAGGGCAGGAGGGCTGGTGAGAGGCAGGGGGTGTGGTGGTGTCACTGTTACTCCTGCGGAAATGAAGTCCAGGGCTGAAGTCAAGGGCCAGGAATGTAACCCTCCCTCTGCCATTACTTCTTATGGAGCAGCCGTGGGAATGGTCTTCCATTGCTCCAGCAGGGGAGGTCTGGGGGCGGGGGAGACAAGGACCCCCGGATCTGGGTGGGGGGTGCTCCCGGGTCAGCAGTGCTCACTGCCTGGGGTGTGCAGACCGAGGCCTCCAATGCTGGCGGGTGCAAGAGTTGTGCTCCCCCCACGGGCCCCGGAAGACCCCCCCCCCGTCATCCAGGCTGACTGCAGCTCTCCCCCCCCATGCAGACCCCGGACCACCCCCTCTGTCTGGGTGCCGAGCTGACCCTGACCGCAGTTCTCCCCCCTCCCCAGGCACTCTTCGTATGGACGGCTCTTGGACGACCAGGACTACGGCTCCTGGGGGAACTACAACAACCCCCTGTACGACGACTCCTAAGAGGGACGTGCCGGGCGGAGGGGCTGCGCTGTTCCTAGGGCTTTTCCCCCGAGACACGTGCAGCCCCGCTTGTCCTGTGCCCCCCACCTGCTGCTGCCACCCCCCCCCCCACAGCATCATCGCTCGCTGCGGGCGGAGGCTTCTGTGCTACAGCTCGGCCCACCTGAGGCCCACGGAGCCTCCTACCTGACACCTGCTGCTTGCGCCCACGGAGCCTCCTGACACCTGCCGCCAGGGCCCACGGAGCCTCCTACCTGCCACCTGCTGCCTGGCCCCATGGAGCCTCCAACCTGACACCTGCCGCCCGGGGCCCATGGAACCTCCTGGCACCTGCCGCCCGGGCCCACAGAGCCTCCTGCCTGACACCTGGATGCGCTGCGAGGCCCCAAGGCCGGCACCACCCGCTGAAGGGGCACTTCCTGTTTGTGGCGGTTCTTGGACTTTTTATTTGGGAAATGGCATTAAATGTTAACAGGGTTAAGGTTGCGAGCCCTGAAGGCTGTCGCCCCACAGGAGAGGAGGCGGGGCGCGCCCGGGGTGGGGGGTGGCCAGGTGTCCCCGAGCTGCGGGACTGTTACCCCGAGGCAGCCCTCGGGGGTGTGGGGATGAGGAGGGGGAGGCCTGGGGTGAGCGGGTGGAGACGAGGCTGGGGGGGGGTGGAGGGGCGGGGGGGATGGAGCAGGAGGTGCGGGAGTGAGCGTGGGGGGGCATTAGGCTCGGGAGAGGGTGGGGAGCGAGGGTCAGCGTGGCAGTGAGGTGCTGGGGCCGGGGGTCAGCGCGGGGGCGGGCGCACCTGCACCTGCACCTGCATGGAGCGCAGCCGGGAGGACGGGGGACAGGAGGCAGCCTGGAGCCCGGAGCCCCTGCTCGGCCGGAACCCGGTCCACACCCGCCCCGCCCGCGGGGGCCCCAAGGCCTTTGGTGCAGCTGTGTCCGCCTCCCCCCGGGACCCGGGCTATAGGCCAGAAAACCCCGCATCTAGAATTTGGAAAAAGAACGAAGTTTGCAGAAAGCCCTGCGCTGCGGTATCCGCAGGGGCAGACGGTTCTGTCCCCCCACCCCCACAGGGCCCTGCTCCCGCACCCCGAGGACCCCCACCCTGAGGCCCCCCCCAGGACCCCGGTGCCCAGCTCCGCAGCTCGGCTGCTATCGCAGTGGAGGCCCCGGAGGTGCGCAGCCTTGCGCTTGGGTCCCCAGCAGGACAGCCCCAAGGTGACAGGGTCAGGCCGCTGCCCCCCGACACCTGCCGCTGGAAGGCGGCCTCGGGCCCGGTGCTGGAGGGAACGTCCAGGGGAGCTTGTCCCATGGGGCCCCTCAGGGCCCCAGAGACCTCGAAACTGGACCCACCTGCATTTCTGGGGGTGCACCTGTGGCCGCGAGTCCCCGAAGCCCCGCCCCCCAGCCTGCCCTCAGGGGGGCCCGGCTCCGTGCCGCTGGGGCAACCTCGGTGGCCAGGCCCTGGGGGTGCCAGGGCCCTGCCGGGCCCACAGCCTGCCCCCCGCCCCACCCCACCCCGCCCCACCCCACCCCACTCTGCGAACCAAGCGCTCCTGGACTCTTGTAGCAGAGACGGAGTGACCCTGGGGTCCCGGGGGTCTTCCAGCAGAACTGGAGCAGGACGCGGAGGCCGCCAGCGACTCTGCTTCTGATTATCACCAAACAGAACAAAAGGACATTCTCAGAAAACTGCCCAGGGACGACCAGGGGCGCCCCCTCCAGCCACGCTGCGCCCACCCCTTCGGGAAGCCTGCGGGCTTTCAGTCTCACAAGGGACAATTCAATCAAAACAGGACATCCCCCCCCCCCTTTTTGTCTCTCCCTTGGCCACAAGCATCTTGAGAAAACGTCCATGAGACACCCTTGAAGCAGCGCTCTCGTGGGTGCTGCTGCGGCCACACAGAGGGTCCCCCGGGGTCCCAACCGCAGACTCCGTGAGCGTCTTTCCTCCCCGACATCCATCGTGATGCAAGAGCACTTGGTGGGGCTTTGCCCCCATGAACCCCCAGACCCTCACGGCGGAGACGGAGCTGGACCGAGAGCAAGTATATCCCGCGCGGGGACGGCTTCCCGTGGAACTAGCAGCCCTGGTCGCGTCGGGTCAAGACACCCACCGGGGAACCGTATGTTGCCAAGTACTTTTTCTCGGAGTTGGCCAAAGGGTCTGAACAACTGTATTCAATGCCTGTTGCTCGAAACACACGCACACGCACACGCTCACACATCTCTGAAATACAACTGGTGTCCGGTAGGTGAGGGCGTGTGTTCGGGTCCGCCCGAGGGCCGCGGCTCAGCCGAACGACGGGCCGTTCCCCCAGGGTGAGGACTCTGCCGGGGCCAGCGCAGGCCGAGGCGAGCAGCCTGTCCTAGGCCAGACGCGGCGAGTGACGCTGGGGTCCGGCTCTGCCTTCCCTTCCCTTGGCCCCGTGGAGTGTCCTGCCCTGCCCTCCCCGGGCGCCCGGCCCCACTTCTCCAACACGGGGGGGGGGGTGATGCTTGCCGTTGCCGTTGGCCTCACCCCAGGCTACCGCACGGGCGTGTTGGGAGGGTTCCCGGAGCCGTGTCCGCCGTGTTTTCAGTTTCTGCAGAAAACTCTTCATAGCTCTTGTGAGTATCACGCAGACGTGTACGGGGTCTCGGGTTCGGCTTCCTGTTCATTGTTCTGCCCGCGTGGGGTTGGGACGTCAACTATTGAAGGACAGCGGGGTCGTGGCCACCTCAGGCCATCGTCACGGCTCGGAGCTGACCCCGCAGCCCGCTGACCCGCCTGCGGCCGGGGGAACAGTCTCTCTCTCCACAGGAAACGGTGTCCCAGGACGCAGGCCCCTCGGAGAACCGAGTCGGGGCCCGGGAGGCTCGGGCAACACGGATGCCTGAGCGCTGACGCAGCAGACCCCGGCCTTGGCCATCCCGGAGCCCCCTGAGTCCTCTGGGGAGTTGATGGGTTTGACGCCACTGGTTGGCTCTTCCGCCCGCTCGCAGGGCGCACGGTTCAGTCCCCCGCATATGGGAAATGGGTCTAGCAGCTGGGCCTTGTTGATTTGCACGTTGATTCACCCTCCTTGCCTTGAACCTCTTTTCTGGCAAATGAATGTACCGTTTCTACTTGGATTGCAAAGCGCTGGTTGGTACCAGTAGCAGTAGCAGCGCTGCCCAAGAGGCCGACGCCACGCTGCTTTCTCGGGGTGGGTCAGCCGACGCCAGGTAAAGATGGAAAGATGCGCGACCTCTTTGATATGTTTGATGTCATCGTATCCACATTGGTTGTAAGACGTATCGCGTAATAATTATATCAATTAAAGTCGTTAAAAGCTTACCTCTGACGGTGGTGATTCACTTTTTGATATGTTTTGTCATTCAAGCCATTCAGCTGATGGGCTCATATTTAGCAGGCTTGATTCGTTTTTTTTTTTTTTTTTACTTTTTTTAATAAAGATTTTATTTATTTATTTATTTATTTATGAGATGCAGAGAGAGAGGCAGAGACACAGGCAGAGGGAGAAGCAGGCTCCACGCAGGGAGCCCGACATGGGACTCGATCCTGGGACCCCAGGATCACACCCTGGGCGCAAGGTGGTGCTAAACCGCTGCGCCACCCGGGCTGCCCTTGATTTGCTCTTAAAGCAAATTAACCCCACATCAATAAATGATATTTTCTGCACCGCTGCAAGGGACCTGTGATCTCGAAACAGAATTGAAGGGTGTCAGAAATGAAGAGACTTTCCGAGCAGCGATCTTGCTCTCAGCAGTACACCATGCCTTGCAAAAAATGCAAAAATGGACATTTTGATTCAATGACTCGGCAGCGGCACAGAGTCAGGTCCTGTTAAGGCGTATTGGCTTTCGCGGTGTGTTTGCAGGTACTGGGCTCGCCTCATGCTCCTCCAAAAGAATGAAGTTCATCGCACCCGTCCCGGTAAAACAGCGAAGCATTTTCAACCATCCGGAGTACGACAGCGACCCTCAGGAGCTAAGCGAAGATTATTCGGATTCCGAAGGGACGAGCGACCGCACGGCCGCGCACCTGGCAGCATGGCAGAGGAGCGCGCCACCTGCGAGCCGCGGGAGCCGGCCTGGTGGCCCGAAACCCGGGACGTCGAGGTGCCTGGTTTCCAGCGGCTCACACGGGGGACAGGGAAGAGCCACCGCGGAGGGAGAGGACCAGGCCCGGGACACGCCCCAGCCCGGGGCTCGGTCCCTCCCGGGGCTGCCGTGGGCACAGGAGCGGGGGCACCTGCGGTGTCCCGAGCTCACCCAGGCCGCGGCGCCCGGAGGCGTGGACAGAGGACACCTAATAGGAATGCGCAGAGTTCGCCTATTGCGGCACCACGGCCTCTCCCAGTTATAGATGGAAACGGAGCGCCCGGTCCCGCCTGTGCCAGGCCTCCAGGTCGCGCGTCGCACAGGGTGGCCCTGCCTGCGAGCACCTACAGGCGGCACACATGTGATCCGAACGGGCGTCACCGAAGCCCCGGGGTCCACTCAGGACACTGGCTTCTGCGCTAAGTCTGACCCGCTCTCAGCCTGGGGACGTCCCTCCGCCGGCCAAGCCCCCTGGCAGCTGCTTGCAGTCAGCCCAGGGGTCTGGCGCGGCCCGAGCAGGGACAGTCAGCTCCCAGCTCCTGCGTCCCCGGGGCACTGCCACCGTCCTAATCCCTGCTGCCACTGGGCCCTGTGCTCCCAGGCCGCCTCGGCTGCCCCCACTGTGTTAGGGGAGCACGTGGGCCCCCATCCCCGGGGTCAGGGTCGGCCTCCCTCCCACCCCCAGCCCCCGCTGTCATAGGGGAGCACGCGGGCCCCCCATCCCCGGGGTCGGGGACCCCGTCTGTCCCACCTGTGCCCTCCGAGGAGACAGGTAAGAGTCCACTACAGCCTGGACGGGCATCCTGTCCTCCGAGTGTCTTCCTCTCTTGCCCCAAGGTCCTGTTATTTCAGGACCTTGTCTTCCGTGGCTCGGCCATGACAAGGGTCGCATCTTCTCCCATGACCCGAGCAGGAGCCGGGTACCGTTCCCAGCAGGTCACATGGAGGAGCCTCCCCAGGAGCCACAGGTCGTTAACGCAGCCCCCCCCCCGCCCCGCGCAAGGAGGAGCCAGGGGCCGAAGGTGCAGGCACCTGCCGAGGGGGCGACGTCAGGTGCTGGGAGAGACAAAGGCGCCCCGGGGAGGACGCGAGGCCTGTGGCGGGCATCCCTGGGGAGGGCGGGAACCACCTGGGGTGCTCCTGGAATATCAACTCTTGATGCAAAGCTAAGGGTGGCCCGTGGACATGGGAGTCGTGCGACTGCGTGTGAGCAGGAACAGAGGCAGGTGCGGGAGCCCCGGCAGGTGACGCTGCCTCCAAGCCAGCCCCAGCGGTGTGGCGGGGCGGGGTGCTCCAGCGCTCCCCGGGAGCCTCAGCGCCCCCATCCCTGGTGCCTTGGTGTCGTTTCCGTCTTTCCGGCCTCACCCGAGACCCTGCTGGGCACAAGCTCCCGCCAAAGCCTGCAGGACAGGGACACGGAAGACACGAAGCTCGGGCTTCGCCCCGACCCCGACCGGCCAAGGGGACCCCAGACAACCGGGGAAGGATGCTGAGCTGCAAATAAACGAGCACGGCCCCCTCCCTCCTCCAGGCTGGAACTT